TCCTCTTTCTTTCCTCTCTCTCTCTCTCTCTCTCTCTCTCTCTCTCTCTCTCTCTCTTACTCATTTTTCTCCTCTCTTTTTTCTCTCTTCCTTACATTATTTCCCTGCCCTATTGAGATCCAATGAAGAATGTTAAAAACTGAACTATAGTCATTTTTATGAATAAATTTAACAATATAATAAATAAAGTAGACGAAAAGTTCGAAGTTTTTAGAAATAATCATTTGTTTAAAGTAAAATCTTGAGAAAAAATTTTCAAATTTTCAGGTTAGTCGTCGTTATAGTTTTGCAAGCCTTCCTGGCTACAATATCAAAGTAGCCTTAGCTGACATCTACATAAGCACGGTGAGTAGGTTTTTGTTATTATTTTTCTTCTAAAAACCATCTTCATTATCGTTTTCATCATCATTTTCATCATCATCCTACTTACCATCATCTTCATTATCATCTTCATCGTCATTTTCATCACCATCCTACTCACCTTCATCATCGTATTCATCAGCATCTTCACCATCATCTTTATCACCATCCTACTCACCATCATCATCACCACCATCATGATGGTGGGAATCTTCAATAATAATAATAATAACAATTTATATAGCGCTGATAGCAAGCAACTGAAGCGTCCCTTGCCAGAAAATAGATGCAATATATTATAGATTTTTAAAAACTGTTCCTATGATAAGCGTAAAGAATAAAAACTACCATCAATAAAATATATTGATATCTTGACATGGTAAAAAAACTACTCACCTTTCATCAACACCAGCAGCTGTAGTAGCAACTTCAACAGCAGCATCTTCATCGTCGTCCTTATCATCATATTTCTCACATTACTCATCATCATCATCTCACTCGTCGTCATCATCCCAACAGGATCCAAATGACTTACCTTTTGTAGAACCACTGAAGCAAACGAAAGACGCTGATAAAGTAAATGGCGTTGACGTTTATGAGGCCTTCAAGAAATGGATTGTTGAAGATAAAAATAGAGAGAAATGGAAACTCCCGAGTTTCGATGTGGCTGGGGTTTTCACCAAGTAATGCCCACTCACTTTTTTCATCTCTCTCTCTCTCTCTCTCCCTCTCTCTCTCTCTCTCTCTCTCTCTCTCTCTTAAATTTTATCTCTCCCGACATAATTTTTGTTGATACCATCTAGTTTCTCAATACAAAACAACGCAATAGCGTATAGGCAAGTAACTATTAAGGTAAATTAAAATTTAAAACAAGTAGCATGAATTCTTAAAAATATACAGAAATACCGAAATTTAGCAATTGGATAGATGGTGTAATGGTTTAAGTGCCTGGTCGTGTAATGTGTGTATGTGTTGGTGTGTGTGCGTGTTGTTTGTGTGCGTGTGTTAAGGAATATATTTAATAATTTTAATCCTAACAAGAATTATAAAAAAATTCCAACCCAGTTACAATCTCCTATCGGTGAATGGCGTGGCAAATATCGCATCACTCTGCAGGAAAGATGCCGTCTTTGTAACCCGTGAAGAAGGTTTGTTCCACACAATTGACATAGCTACACACGAAATTGGACATACGTTGGTTTCTTTTTCATCTTTTGTTCGTTTTTTTCTTTAAATTTTTTTTGAATTTTTATTTTATTTGTTAAGCAATGATTTATACTACGGTCTGTAAGATTTGTGATGGGTGTTTCCTACTGAAAATTACAATAAGTTGGTAGATTTCTTTCAAAGTAACCACTACAAATCCAAAATCTTGAATTCCTCATCATCAAAAAATTCTGTCAAAACAAGGTTTCACGGTTAATTCGCCTAATCATACTGGGACTGAATAATTTCTGAGATATATGTGTGAATAACGAAAAATTTATAGAGAACTTAACAAATTATTTTTTAACTTTAGTAAAAATTTTTGCGATTTAATGCGGCAGACTTGGGGCCGTGAATGATGACAGGCAGGTCGGCTGTCTGGGGACTGATGACTTTGTGATGAGTTTTATGAGGATAGCTCCGGATGAAAAGACTGAACAAAATTTTTACAAATTTTCTCCGTGCTCTGTTAAGGACATTACAAGCTATCTTAGTAAGGTTAAAAGGTTAGTGCCCGCATAGAAAATCTTTTTTTTTCCTAAACTTTTAATTATTTTTTTATTTAACGAAAATATAGAGCAATTTTTAAAAAATAAAAAAGGTTATTTTAATGAAATAGATATCGTATTTTAGTTTAAAACATTAATTATAATATACATAGCAATTTTACGAAATATTTTTTCAAATGCCTCAGCGAGCCACAAAACTGTTTCGCAATATCATCCAGTTCCAGCAAACAGAGGGATATAGAGAAAGATTTGAACAGTCAACTCGGTATTTATAATCTTCAAAATTGAAATCTAAAATATAATATGGATGAAACATTTTGATTTTATTATCAATATTTACAAAAGTCTCATGAAGAAATCTTCAATTCTTCATGAAACTTCAAGCCGATGAATGGACATAAAAACTGCGAAAAAATTTAACTCCTCAAGTCAATAAATCAACTTTTGGTATTTATAAACATTAAACAGCTAACTTTTTTTTTAAGATTTCAAACTTAAATTACAATTTTTAAATTCAAAACCAGGAAAAACGTACACACCAGACGACCAGTGTCGGCTATTATTCGGCAAAGGCTCAGCCTTTTGTGGAGTAAGATGCAGAATTCAGGACAATTTTCCACAATTCTCTTTTCATTATCTCTATAATTTTCTCATCAGGGTGGCGGTGAAGAAAGAATGAGAAGCACCTGCAACAAAATGTCTTGTTGGGTGCCAAAATTGAATCGTTGCGAATCGCCGGGGCCTCTCCATAGGGCCTTCGATGGCACTCCATGCACTAGTGGCATGTGGTGCCAGGAGGGCAAGTGCGTCAAAAACTCACTGGCTCCAGTCTACGAGGGTTGAGTAGAATTGATTTTATTTTTTAAAATTCTATTTATTTAAAATCCAAAAACACAAAATGAAAAGAAAAACAGATTGTGCGGATTTACGGAGATCACCGAAGAATAACAAAACTTGTAAAGGCCACCGTGAATACAATAATCAATTTAAAAATAAAAATTTTAATTATAAATAAAAATTATAGTTAATCTTCATCTTGAAATTTCCCGATGAATTTAACTCTCCATTCATTTTTTCATTTTTTTCTCTTAAATATTACCTTTATTGTTAATATTATCTTAAATACTATCGTCATTGGGTCTTAAAATTAACAGCCAAAACACAAACTGCTCACGTGTTCATTGCATAATAATGAATCTGGTTAGCCAGCAGAACAACTATTCCCCATGCAATCAAACCCATTCACTGCAACATCAGTGCCAGGCGTCTTCGCCACTACACCATCACCACGCTCTGTCAATTCAAAAAGGTGCCTGCAGATATGGGGATAAAAAAGGTGGATGGGCTCTGAGGGGTGCAGACTACCCTAGTTCCTGTGAGGACGTTTTGAAGAAGTTTACATGGAACTGTTATGAGGAACCTTATAAAACCGACTGTTGCAAAGCGTGTGCCACTGTTAAAGCAAAATTTGGTCAAGAGAGTATGTAGTGATCGGGACGATGACGCTGATGATGATGACGACGACGATGATGATGACGATGACGACGATGATGCTGATGATGATGATGATGACGATGATGATGACGATGATGGTGAATGACTGTTACAAGAGTCTTGATCGTGAAATATTAATCCCGTATAATTTTAGAATGTGAATAATATGTGATTATGAAATACTAAATTTTACTGGCTATTTGAAAATTTGCTCACAACAATTATTAACCATAAAATAGTTATCAATATTTATTATTTATTACGAAATAATAATTCTGAATAATTGTAGAGTGTGAGTATGGAGACAGGTTTTCCAGCAGAGAATGCAGGCCGAGTGTATGCGGTGATCGTTCTTGGCGCACCTACTGCTGCACTACCTGTTCTGATGTCTCTAAGAAGAATTAAATTTCTGAAAATTTTCTGAATATTTAAAATATATATAATTATATTTATTATATATATATATATATATGTTTATCAATATTTATTCAAATACAATCCTATATGTTATTGAAACAATTGAGTGAATAAATTCTATTCGAAACGCATCTATCAGATCTGGTAAATGAGGTTAAGTGTGTGTGTTTGGCATGTTTGTGTGTGTGTGTGGTATGTGTGTGTGTGTGTGTGTGTGTGTGTGTGATTATGTTTGTTTGTGTGTGTGTGTGATTGTGGCATGTCGAGTGTCTTATTAATTCGTTGAACTCGCGTGAGATTAAGAGATTATTGAAAATTAGACATTTCCTCAGAAAATTTTATTAGTTTATCATCCTAAAGATTTTTATTTCACAAATTCAAAAATTATTATTATTATCAATTCTTTCTTGGAAAATATTTGTGTAAGTGTGTATGGTGTGATTTATAATCGTTTGGACCTTAACCTTTTACTTTCAAGTGGGATTTTCATGTTTTTTTTTTTTTTAGAAAAAATTTAAAATTTATGAAATTTTGATATTTTCGTTAAAATATACCACAAGCGTTGTTCATTTTTAACAGTGAATATGATGGTATGAAGCGAAACTTTGTTGGCGTATATAACAACATGGGATGTTTTAAGCAACCTTCGCTAGCCTACTTTGGCCTGAATGTTGCTGGTCAACAGCCCATTTAAAAATTGTTCAGTAAAGAGCTATCTATTATTTTTTTTCTAAATTCGGTCTAACAGAAAACGCATTCTGAAAAATTTTACTTTCACTGAACCAACAAATCAAAGAAAATATTTTACGTGGTGAATAAATTCTCCCAGAAAAACTCACCTTCACCATATAAAAAGGCGAGGACAAAACCTCAAGCCAAATTATTTACCAGTGGGATTAGAGGTCGACATGGAAAGTTTCTCGCAAATTTTCCCGCAAAAACCCGCGGAAAAAAGGCGGTTTGGAAACCAAAGTTAGAAAGAAACTTAAGCGGGGCGGGAATGAGAAGCGAGAAAAATCCGCGGGACGGGAAAAATTTCGGAGGGAAAACTGCGGTTACTGCTCGTAAATCTGACACACATCCAAAGATAGTACAACATACTTACGTTGGCTGTGAGCCTGAATGAACTTCATCTGATTTTGTATCCACAAATTACACACCACAAATGTACTGAATTTCTAACTTTGTAATTAACCAGTATTTTGTTTTCATAATAGAAAGTGCACATGGAATGAGTGTGGATGAGCGAAGACTTGAGAGGGAAAGAGTGTAGGTGAGTAAAAATTTAGACTTGAGAGAAAATAAGTGCGGGCGAGGTAACTATTTTTTCAGGATGGGAGGGTGAAGAAGCAAAAATGTGTCTCCGCCTAAACCTCTAAGTGGGTTACTGAGTCTGAATTTTCAGCAATCAAAAAGTTAAAAAAAGATATATAAATAATTTTTCAAACAACAAATCAAACAATGCATTTCTGATGAACGTTCAGTTCTTACTTTTCAGGCAATCCCACACACACAAGCCATCTAGAAATGAACTTACACCACGCAATTTTTGCCTAGGTAAAACAAACATTGAAATATACTTGTATATTTATTTTGTGTGTGTGTGTGTTTGTCTTTCTCTCTCTCTCTTTCTCTCTTTCTTTCTCTCTCTCTGTATGTCTGTGTGTGTGTGTTAATATTTACCTCAATGTATATATCACCACACCCACACAAACAAATGATTTATAATTATAAGATACTACCATACCACATCGAATGAGGTTGAAGGTTTGCCAGTCAGGCATGGAACATATGGTTAAATTTTCAATTTTGGTTTCTACCATTTTGGTTGGAAGCTTGGCAACCGGTATGTCTTTGTTTGTTAATTCTTTTTTGCAAAAGTATCTTAGAACAAAAATAAATTTTCAATCGGTTAACTATATTTTATTATTCAAATATTAAATTTTACTTGATTTTATACGTAAACCAAGATTTATGCGGTCCGTGGTGTCATATGTATGTCTTCAGAAAGCTTTTCTCTTTCAAATGTCTACTTAGTCAAATCTTTTCTAATTCAAATTAACAATTATAATAAATTTCAATATTATCTAAAAGTATTTAAATCATGAACTAGATTTCTTCGGAGCTCTATCTTCAAAAGAAGAAGTGGCAAAAAGATCAGGTGCTACAAAAGACATCATCATCGATGTGCTAGTCATAGCTGACTATTCCATTTTCTCAAAGTAAGTTTCACCACTTCGTGGTGAGATTCAGAAGCTATGAGGGGAGTACTTAAGGGATTGGGTACTTGAAAGGGGTATTTCACTTGCTCCGACATTGATTTTGAAGAAATCAAGAAAGACATCTTTTTTTCTAAATTTTATAAAATCTTACGAGTTTTATAACATTTTCAAATTGTCAGTTTAATCTATTCAGAATTAATTAACTCTGGATAAAATGCCAAAAATATCAGATGGATGAGTTTTCATAACAATGACGCTAGTAAGGCTAAGAAAAGCATCGAGCACTTCTACACTCATGTCTTTGAAGGGGTTGGTCATATTTTTTTTCTAACATTTATTTATTTTTCATTTTATAATTTTTCTAGTAACACCAACGACACATTATATTTTCAGTGCTAAAACGATTGAAATTCACTTCGAATCTATATAGCTCTTTATTATTTTAACTTGATTTCAATTTAAGTTAACAACATTTACTTAAATTTTTCAACTAAGCTATCTCAATGTTTACCAGTGTTTGAATTTTGTAGGAAGAAATAAGTTTAACTTTGAAAATCAATTAGGTGAACAAGCGCTATCGCAAAGCGAACATTCCTGGTTACAGCGTATCATTCGTTATGGCTGGCCTTTACGTATGTACGGTAAGGATTTGAAATTTTTGAAACGATAGTAACTTCAACGATGATATGACGATGACATCATTAACAATGATGACGATGGTGATAACAGATGATGATAACACAATTAAGGATGATAACAAAGACGGTAATGGGGTTTACAAAAGTGGCAGAACTAAACTAAACAACAGAATTAAACGACTAAACTAAACCTTTTTTTACACACACCATAAAACATTTCAAAATTTTAACTCTAAAATCCTCATCTTGTCTGCATTTTCTATCATTGATAGTATCATCATTTTCATCGCCATCAAGTCCCTCATTATCGCTCTCACCTCATTCATTTTCTATGCTATCATTATCTATGTTATTAAATTATATTATTATTAATTAATTAATTATTACTAATCTATATTATCTATTATCGACATTTTCTTCCCTGATGACATCATCTACGCTCACCATAGACAGAAAACGATTTGGATTTTATGACGTCGCAAGGGGTCAGGGTCGGCCCAAACACCATAGACATAAGAATAGCCTACGACAGATTTCAGTACTGGCTGAATAAAGAAGAAAATAGGAAGAAGAGAAACTTCCCTGCTAATTTCGACGTTGCTGGAATCTTCACAGTGTAGGGCAGTTTTTTGAGAGTCCTTATATCTGTTTGAAATCACTAAAAACATTTTTTTTGATAGCTTGTATATCTGCTTGAAATCACTTATGAAAACATCTTTTTATTAGTTTTTGATATGAAGACTGTTGATTTTATACAAAATTTTATGTTAATTTATCTGAAAATGTTTTATTGTAGCGAGCTATTATACAAAATGCTCACTGATTGCAAAGCTTCAGCATTTGGTAAACATCGCTAAACATCCATTAACTTTATATAATTTGTTTTAATTCTACTAAATTTTAGTTGAGCCGAAATGCAAGGAATGGTTTTAAATATTAAAAAAAAATTTTCGAATTTCAGCAATAACCTTGTTGGCCTCTATCAATTTTGAATTTTCATTCATCATCATTAATTATTTGATTTATAATTGATTTATAAATGTAGATTGTCTCTTTTCAAATGAGCAGTTGGTTTCGCCGGTCTGTCAGCACTCAGTAGATTAATTTTCACCCCTTAGCTACGACCTGATGGGCTATGGGGGCCTAGCCAAAATAGGTGGTGATTGTAGCCCAAACACAGTCTTCATAACGAAAGAATCCGGAGAGTTTAGCACCATAGATGTCGCGGCCCATGAGCTTGGACACGTGTAGGTTTTTTTTTCCAATTTAACCATGTCTTTTCCAATTTATCTTTCCTTTTTTTCCAGTTTCCTATTAGTATTTTTCAGAAGTATCCACAACAAGCTCGCAGTGCATGTAAATACGCGCGAATAAGTCGGGATCTCTTTACATTCGAATATAATCGCGGCAAGACTAGTGCCAGGAATCTTGACCGTTTATTACGCCAACGAGTCACCCATCATGGTTTAGGAGATGATTTATTTCTGCGGTCAAATTAACAGTACATTTGACAAAATAAAATTTATCTAGAACTAAATTCGAGGAATTTTTAAGTTGCGAATTTTCATTTCAGGTTAGGGGCATCCAACGACGGTGAAAACAACCCATGTGACGGCAGAGTGTACAACGTTATGGCCCCAATTAAAGGCATTCTGATGGAGCAGTATGCCCACAACCTCTACACATTCTCTCGGTGTTCTCTGGATGCTATCACCTACCATCTAGATAGAGTCACCCAGTGAGTAGCGGTTGTTGTTGTTGTTGTTGTTGTTGTTGTTGTTGTTGTTGTTGTTGTTGTTGTTGTTGTTGTTGTTGTTGTTGTTGTTGTTGTTGTTGTTGTTGAGTGGTTGTCGTATTTTTTGAGTGGTAGAAAAAAAAATGTAAACTATTTTTTTTAAACAAGTTTATTTCATGTAACGCATAAAAAAAGAAAAAAACATAAAATAAAAAAGGACCCTAAAAAAGATATAACCTTAAATAAATAAGAACCCTACAATTTGCATTGCTTGCACACACAATGAAAGTTTAAATTTATAAATGATATACAATTTTTAAACTTAAAAAAATATTTTTTAACATTCCAAACATCACAGAGATCCTAAGAGCTGCTTCTTGACAACAGCAGGTGACAGCTCGTGGCGAAACAAACTAAAAGAACACATGAGCCAGCTACTAGGTAGGCATTGGCTCTTTAAATCCAATCGAATTTTGTAAACCAACATAATAATGATAACAAACTACGAGTGTTAAAATCAAGGAGTGTGATAGGATGTTCTATCATGGCACTTGATACCATATCATGATATTTGATACCATTTTCATTTTACTCTTTTAAATATAGGAAAGAAGCATTCTGTTAACGAGCAGTGCTCGCTCTACTACGGGAGAGGCTCGGAGATATGTGGCGTAAGTTAAGTCCAGGAGAAAAAAAAAATTCATACCATTTTCAGTTTACTCTTTTAAATATAGGAAAGTTTTCATTTTTGAGGATAAATTTTTTCTAAAAACTAACATCATCATCGTCATCATTGTTAACGTTAGTTACCATCATCATCAATTTCAGCATCATTGTCACCATCATCAACATCATCATTATCATCATCGTCATCATCGTTATCATCGTCATCATTATCATCATCATCGTCATCATCATCGTCATCAAGAGTTTGGAGAACAGTAACGTGTGTAAGATGCTCTCGTGTCTCCTCCCAAGGTAATGATAATGATGATGACAATGAAGATGATGACGACGATGATGATGATGATGAAGATGACGACGACGATGATGATGAAATAGCACAGGCTCATGCTCACAGTCGCCATCAATGGCTTTCGATGGAACGTCATGCGCCAGTGGGATGATGTGCAGAGATGGGAGATGTGTGGCTGACAGCCAGGCTCCAAAAATGCCATGTAAAAATTAAATAGAAATTTCATTTTTTTTTTCTTAAAATTCTCTTCATAATAGCCGTAATTCCTCATCCTATATCGAATCTATTTTGAAATATTTTTTTTATGTTTTGAACATTCACACACACACACACACCATACACATACACACACACCATACACATACACACACGCCATATACACACACGCGCGCACACACATACATTCAATGAGAATTTTCATGAACCAGTTAAACAACAAACAGTATCGCATACAGCTTGAATAAACAATCAAGCGTATTATAAACTGAAATCTCGCTAGCATTACAGTTTTCTTCAGATAATAAAAATTATTCCCACTTTTTAAAATTGAATTTTTGCAAAATAATTCGCAAAATAACGCAACAACTAAACATTGCATTGAAACCAATTAACTGACAGCATCCTGTCCATACGGAGATTTCAGGGGCAAATATTACGAGAGAAAAGGTGACCCGAAAAACGCCGATCTGCCCCAAACTTGCCAAGACCTATTTGACAGGGTACCGTGGAGCTGCTACGATGACTTCTATAGTAAGAGATGCTGTGAAAGTTGCCCGAAGCTGAAGAAGAAGTTTGAAAGTAGCGATGAAAGTCCGTTGTGATGATGGGATGGTGGTTTCATTTTTTCATTCATTCATTCATTCGCACGTTCATTCATTCATTTATTTATTCGCACGTTCATTCATTCATTCATTCATTCATTCATTCATTCAAAATTTATTTTAGATTGTGCGTACGGTGACAAACTGCCTCCGAAAAATTGCGAACGCGCTGAATGCAAGGTAGGCTACTGGAAAGAGAACTGCTGTAAGACCTGCTCCGCTACTGGTACTAATACTAATACTAATACCAACACTCAACAAGAGACTCCGAAAGCAGGTATTCATGAACTACATATAATAATGGATTGGACATTTTTTAATATGATTTTTCATTTTAGCATATTTTTATTTGCCATGTTTGTATCCATCCAATACATCCATCCATTCTTCATCAATTCATTCTATAATCATTCAACTATCCATTCATTGATTCATTCACCCATTCATTAATTCATTTATCCGTTCATTCATCTAGCCATTTGTCCATCCATCCATCAAATTTAGTGCCAAGCTGCCCGAATGGTGAGCCAGACTGGTGCAAAGAATACAGCGAATCGAAAAAGCACAACTGCTACGTTAACGAACTTGCCTGCTGTATAACTTGCCCGAAACTCAAAAACCCATCCCAAGTCGGTTGGTACAGTTCTGATGGCTCACAAAGCATACCAAGAATTGTCAAATTTTTAACAAATTTTGAATATTTATCATCAAGAGTTTGTTATGGATTGAAGATTTATTGTTGTTTGTATTATAATGTATTTAATTTTTATTTGTTTCATTTGTTCGTTCATTCATTCATTCATTCATTCATCCATTCATTCATTCATTCATCCATCCATCCATTCATTCATTCATTTATTCATTCATTTATTCATTCATTCATTCATTCATTTATTCATTCATTCATTCATTCATTCATTCATTCATCCCAATCATTCATTCACTAAATTATTCTAATTCATAGTTCAACTTAATTCATAATAATTCACTTTCCGTAGGTTGTGAATACGGAGACAAAATGAGCTGGTGTGCCAAAACCTCCAAAACCAACCCTGACGTGTGTAAAACGCGCAAGAACGATTGCTGCTTCAGCTGCAAATCTTAAAAGAAATTTATCAACATCCTAGTTATAATAATTTCAATTATAATTATTAATTACCAGATGAACAATTCTGATTAATGATAATTAATTGGTTAACTGATTGATTGTCGAAGTGCAATTAAATTTCAATGCAAATTGAAGCGTCTGTCTTTAATTTAACTCTTAAAAATTGCAAAACTATTAAAATATAAAATATTTGGAAATTTTTTCTACAAATTCTATGCCTGTGACGCCAACAAAAATAATTTATTTAAACAATAAACAAATATTTTATGTAAATAAATAGATTTCAATTTTATAAATAAACAAATGAAAAAAATGTACAAATTTGTTAATAAATTTTTAAAATTCGAATCTATCAACTATTATTAATATTACATTAAAAATGACTTTAAATGAACGAGGCCAATAAATTTCGCTATTAATATAGTTAGTCCGCACATTTAAAAAAAATCTCTTCAGATTTGAAAGCATGCTAACTAGATTTCCAACTCGAAGCTGATTCAGACCTTGAAACATGTCCACTGAGCTTAATTTGAAACTTACTGTGCTACTGGTTCTATGCGCCCAGCGACTTTACTGCAGGTTAGAAATAACCTTAAAAGAGTCTGGAACATGGAGAGAGCATGGCCATTTCAAAAAAACCGCTGGGGGAACTATTGAGGTTGAAAGATCAGTTTCAATAACACACACACACACACACGCACAAACACACACACACAGATCACGTGTACAGACGGACCAGCCGTGCAGTTATTCACATCAGGAAATGGCACTGCTACACCAACAAACTACAACCAAACGAAAGTCTTCTATCGAGACAAAACCGACATTTTGTTCGTAAAGGGGCAAAAAAGGCCCACTCATCTAATGGTCCAAGGGCTGGAAGGGGCCGCAGTTACTTTTGAAATTAGCGGACGACATGGGTGTAAGTTTGTTTAAGCTTTTCTAATTTGTTTTCTTAGGAGGACTACTTTAAAATCTCATTTGAACGTACGTTTTTCGTCAGCATTATTTTTCAACGGAAAATAATTTTTAAAATGTGTGATTTCAATTTGGATTACGATTTGACAAATGCGATCTAATAACCATAGACACATTCACAATCAGGTTAATATAAAAGCCATAGAAGCATAATTTTCCACTCCAAAATTATAATTTTCATAAAAATAATATAATCATCGTAATAACAACGAGCCAGTGAAAGACCCATGTCAGCGAAGCCCGTGCAAGACAGCCAACAAAACTTGTCAACACTTGCCGGGATTCCGACACAAATGTGTAGAACCAAGTAAAGAGATATTGTCAACATCAACACCGAGCGTCATTTCAGATGAAGAAATACCAAATTTTGATGATACTTTTGCCAGTAGTTTTGGCGAAAATGGTTTGGGTAGCGATTTTGGCAATAGTGCAGGGGATTTGGGTGGTGGCATTTATACCGGATTTGGTGGTGGAATTAATACCGGATACAACAATTATGGTGGCGGATATAACAATTTTGGGGGTATGGGTGAAAATTTTGGTAACGATATGCCTGGTGGGATGCCGAGTTATAACGGTTTTAACGGTGGATTTGCTGGTGGAATGAGTAATGGTGTTAGTGGCAGTATGGGTGGGGGTATAGGCAGCGGTGTAGCTAGTGTTGATGGTGGTGGTATTGGTGGTGGTGGTATTGGCGGTGGTGGCATTGGTGGTGGTGGTATTGGTATGGGAGGTTTTGGTGGTGATATGGGAGGTTTTGGGGGTGGTATGTCCGGTATGGCTGGCCCTGTTAGAGGTATGGGCAATTATATTGGAGGTGATATAAGCAGAGGTTACGAAAATAATGGGGGAAATTTCGGAAATGTTATGAACGCGGGAATGGGAGGTAGTAGAGGTAGCGGCTTTGGCGGTATAGGTAGTAGTATGGGTAGTAATATGGGAGGTAATGTGGGTGGCCCTATGGGTGGCCCTATGCGTAATTCCATGGGTGATTATATGGGCAGTCCTTTGAGTGGAAATATGGGGAGTAATCTGGGTGGGCCTGTGAAAGGCGGTATGGGTGGCGTTATGAATAGTAATATCGGCAATAGTATGGGCGTTATTGGAAGCGGTATGCCTGGTGGTTTTGGTGGTGGTATGAATGATTATGTAGGAGGCAGTTTTAGCAATAACATGGGTAGAATTGGTGGCAATATGAACTGTGGTATTGGTGGAAACTTTGGAAGTGGTATAACCAGTAGTGCGGGAGGTATTGGTGGAAACATAGGTGGGGGTATTGGAGGTGGTATGGGGAGTGGTATGGGGAGTATTAATAGAAACATAGGTGGGGGTATTGGAGGTGGTATGGGGAGCATTGGTGGAAACATAGGTGGGGGTATTGGAGGTGGTATGGGGAGTGGTATGGGGAGTATTGGTGAAAATATAGGTGGTGGTATTAGAGGTCGTATGGGGAGTGATATAGGGAGTATTGGTGGAAACATAGGCGGGGGTATTGGAGGTGGTATTGGAGGTGAAATGGGTGGTGTCGGTAGTTTTGGTGGTGGTATGGGTGCTAATTTTGGTACAGGCACAGGCGGCAGTATAAGTAATGACATTGCCAAAAATGTGGATGGTGACTTAAGTAGCAAGATGGGTGGCGGTGTTATGAGGGGTGGAATGTCCAATGATACGGGCACCGTTGGACGGGGTAGTTCGGGTAGTTCCAACCAAGGAATTGCTGGCAGTAGCACTGAAGTTTTACTCGGTAACATGGCTGGAAGTGGAGCAAGTGGTGTTGGTGCGGTGATAAATAAAGGTATGGCCACCATCGATTCCGGTACAATTGATAGTGATATGCAAAGTGGTAAGGGTGTAGGCCCAACGAGCCTAATTGACAGTGGCATCACAGGTGATATTGAAAAAGATATTATCAGCGCAGGTGATATTGAAAAAGATATTATCAGCAGTAGCAGCAGCAGCGTTGATAGCGACACCATCAGCGGCAAAAACGCTGGAAAAATCAATACTTATCATGATACTAAATTTGGAATCGGTACCTCTGAAGATGCTATATCTGATGCTCATAAAAGTAAATTGAGTAGTAAAAATGCTAACGCTAAAATACCTGACGGTAAAAGTTGGAGTAATGTTTATAAAGAAAATGCTGATATCAAAGCTGGAAACAGTGAGATAGAACAATCAGAAGAAAAAGATAGTGAAGATGTTTTTGGCGGTAGTATCGATAAACATATCGGTTCCGGTATAAAAATACATCACGGTACCGGTATAAAAATACATCAAGGTACCGGTTCAAGAAAAACCGACACCGATGGCAAAAAACAAATCGGTATTAGTGACGGATCTCAACTGAGTTCTAGAGTGTCGACAGGCGGTATTCATCAAGGTATTGGAGTCGGTACTAAAGGTAATACAAGTGTCGGTTTCGGTCGAATCAGCAGCGGTATTGGAGGTAAGAAGAAAAATGCTTCTTACAGGCATCGAATTGAAAAAATTTATGGTTTGTGTGTTGAGTTTTTGTTGTGAAATAAAATATTTAAAACTATATGTAACAACTCTTTCTACAAGATAATTAAATTTTTTTTAATTTTTAATCTATAAACCAATGATTAACCACTAAATCATTCAACATAAAAACAACATAACGACATGAATAAAACACAGAAACAACAAATTAGACAGACAAAACAATTTTATTTCACCCGATAAAATTTTTTCTCCATAATAAATCCAATTTTTCAATCAATCAATTTTTTCTCATGTCAAATTACCCCCAAAAGTCTCGAGTTCCAAGCCAGAATTCGACTGCAAGACGAACAACCCGTGCACCCAAGCCAATATAAACAAAGGCCATCTGATATTTCCAGCCAGGAATCCCGGAAATTACGTCCGGTGCACGACTTGTGGCAAATGTTTTTTGGAGAGTTGTGGAAAGAATGGCGGTGAGTTTAACGCGCAGTTGAAAAAATGCACAAAGTTCAAGGTCAAATTATGGAGAAAGAAATTCCGGAAAAAAACGAACAGATTTGGATAGTTTCATTTCATCTTTTGTTCGGTCTTGTCTTTTTATATTTTTACAATTATTTAAAAATAAAATTTATGGCTTTAATATTTTTTTAGGAATTGAGTTAATGCGTTTGTAATGTTTATTTTCAAAAAAAAAATGAATTTTTCACGAAATCGTTCCGTGAATTTTTTATATATAAGTATACAAAACATTTAAACGCATTCTTGTTTATTAAACCACGTAAATACGTCTGAAGCAAAAGATACAACAGACAAACAGTCAGAGATTAAGACAGACTGACGGAGAAAGAAAGAAAGAGAGAGAGAGAGGGGGGGGGGATAAATGATGAAAGAAAGGCATCATTTATATGGCGCTTCTCAAATAAACTAGGCACAAGCGTCACAACTTAAAAAGAATTCCACTCCTTTATCATGGCAACCCTCATAAGAATGACATTCATTGAAAATCTAAAAGCAAAAATTTGTTTAAAATTAATAAGCCATAAATAACGAGTAAAATTCCTTTTGGCAGAAGATGTGAATAACTTAGCAAAAAATAAAATTCATTATTATAATATAAAATTATGATAAAAATAATTATCATTAATAACTCTCGGCTAATAGCTAAGTGCTCTGAAAATTTGTATTTCTCCTTTGTCTCAATCTCATTATGACAATTCTAATATAATCCTGATAAAGTTTAGTGTCTTTGGTCTGTTCGTCGATGACGTCATCAAGGTTTACTTCCTCTATGTCAAAATATTCGGACGCGATTTTGTGCCATTTTCCTAAAAAAAATTGAAAAAGACTTGATTAAATTTAAACGTATATTCAATTTCGAAATGTTTAATAACAATGTTAATGTTATAATATTGATGGGAATGGTGCTGATGATGACGATGATTAGTACTATTAATAATAATAGCAATAATAACAAAAATAATAACAACTGTAGTTTAACCAATTAATTTTTTGATTTCAAGTGTCCTTTCTTCATAGCATGCTAAAATTAGAGTCTCATTAGTTTTTTCATCTTGTTGATGTTGTTGTTGATGTTGTTGTTGATGTTGTTGTTGATTTTGTTGTTGTTGTTGTTGTTGTGGATGTTTTTTTTGATGTTGTTGATGTTGTTGATGTTGATGTTGTTGATGTTGTTGATGTTGATGTTGTTGATGTTGTTGTTGTTGACAATTATTTTGGTACATCAAAGCAATAACTGTCTCCAAGAGACAAGGTAGAGACGATTCATAATAGACGCAATTGGCCAGAACTATGATGTCAAATTTTAATGGCGAGTAATTTTGTTGTTGTTGATGTTGTTGTTGATGTTGTTGATGATGTTGTCGTTGATGATGATGTTGTTGTTGTTGATGTTGTTGTTGTTGTTGATGTTGTTGTTGCTGTTGATGTTGTTGTTGTTGTTCGCATCTAACAGTCAGTCTTCTAAGTCGATCCAGTACCACAGCAATCATCTCTAGATTAAGTTATATTAATATCATCAATAGTAGTAGTAGTAGTAGTAGTAATAGTAGTAGTAGTAGTAGAAGTAGTAGTAGCAGCAGTAGTAGTAATAGTAGGAGGAGCAGTAGTAGAAGTAATCGTAGTAGTAGTAGTAGCAGTAGTAACATCAGCAATTTACATCTCCAAATTCATCATCAGTCACCGTCAGAGCCCCAGACAAGAGGCAAGCACTCTACCGGACCAGCCAAAACTCGTCCGTTCGTGTCCGCGTTCAACTGCAGAAGAGGAACCAAGGATTCTAACTCGGTCAGGATAACATTGGCTCCGTAATAACTTCCGGTTAATCCCACTATTCCGGTTCCAGCACCTAGTTCAATCATTGATTTTCCTCTTAGCGAAGAGCTGTTTATTGACATCATTGTCATTATCCTTATTATTATTATTTATAATAATTGTTAATATTATTTATTATAATAATCATAATTATTATCTATAATTATTATTATGAACTACTAACCCTAGTGTATTAATAAAATGTTCAGTTTCGAGGTATCTTGATAGATAATAGGCTGAATCGTAGATCTTTCATTAGAGAAAGTTAAATGTTGTTGTTTTTGTCATTTTTGTTGAGGATATAGTTGTTGTTGTTATTACTATTATTAGTCTTATTATTATTATTAATATTATTGATTTTATTATTATTATTATTATTATTGAAAAAAAATTCTCACCCACGATCCTAGAGACGGAATACATCTTGTTTGATAAATTTTCAAAATGGTATTGTTGTTATTATTATTATTGTTGTTATGGTTGTTATTATTATTATTATTATTTATCTCGTAATAGAATTCGCACATGTGTGCCAGTGGAACCTTTCCGAAACATTGAAAATCCACATATGTGGATGATGACGATGTCGCTGATGACGATGATGAAGACGATGACGATGATGACGCTGAAGGTGATGAAGAAGATGATGACGCTGAAAGAGCCTCTGATGATGATGGTGATGATGGTGATGATGATGGTGATGATGGTGATGATGATGGTGATGATGGTGATGATGATGATATAATTACTGTTGCGGACATTATGAAATTTTCCTAAATCAGCCCAAACGCTATTTGTTTATTATTATTGTTATTATTATTATTATTTTAGATTAAATAGGATTTTATAATTATTTCATTATCAATATTTGGTATTTGGAGTTAGAAATTAAAAGGATTATTATTATTATAATTTCCCTCTAAGGATTATTTTCATTGATTGAAAACTTCATTTGAAAATTAATTTCAAAATTTATTCTGAAAAATTATTCAGATTATCCAATAAGAATTCCTAATGAAGAATCAAAACTCCTTCAAACGTAAAACAAGAAACAAAGAAATAAAACAACAAGAAAGAGAAAGAAAAAGAGAGAGAGGGAGAGAGACGGAGAGAGAAAAAGATAGTAACTTTCCGTGAGCTTGTTGTTAGCATCAACTTTGCAGAATCCTTGGATAAACATAGAAAAGTTTTTTAGCAGCATAGAGCAGTGAAATAAAATAATGGTGCTTCACAGTTTTTCTATATCTTTTCGTAGTATTTTTCAAGTAGCTGCAGTAGTAGCAGTTGTTGTGGTAGTAGTAGTAGTAGTAGTAGCAGTAGTAGTAGTAGTAGTAGTAGTAGTAGTAGTAGTAGTAGTAGTAGTAGTAGTAGTAATAGTAGTAGTAGTAGTAGTAGTAGTAGTAGTAGTAGTAGTAGTAGTAGTAGTAGTAGTAGTAGTAGTAGTAGTAGTAGTAGTAGTAGTAGTAGTAGTAGTAGTAGTAGTAGTAGTAGTAATATTTTATCATTAATCAAAAATCATTCATTCATTCATTCGTTCGTTCGCTCATTCATCCGTTCATTCATTCATTCATTCGTTCGTTCGTTCGTTTATTCATTCATTCATCTATTCATTCATTCGTTCATTCATTCTTTCTTTCTTTATTTCCCATATTGAATTCACTGGTTTGTATGAATTTCAATTTTTAAGAAACATTCAAACCAGCAACAATAATCAAAATTATGACGACGACGACGATGACGATGATGACGTAGCTCTTCTATAATTAGACGAATAAATGACCCAGTAAATGATGTTGAAGATCAAAAACGAAACCGGAAACACTTGTCTGGAAAATTTGTCGATGTTAACAGCCTGGGTTTTCCCATCCGGGGCTTTCTCATACAGGCATTTGAAAATTCTGCCAAATAGGACCTGTAGTTAATGACGTCATTGCTTTCGTAATTTTAAAAATACGCTCAATAGAGCTAAAAATAAAATCAATGTTATATTATTATCGTGATGAAACAGTGAAGTTTACGTAGGAATTGAACTATACTACTTGAATTGAATGCTGATATATAAGCATATGGGTATATATTTCGAGTTGGGATAGTATAATGGTTAAGAATTTTAACCCTTATGCTGCGGTCACTGGGTTCAAATGCGAACTTAATCTCACTTGTCGTAAGCAGTGTGCAGATTTAGGCAAATTTACATTGAAATAATTTTTTCTCATTAATTATCATAATTTATGTTAATTTATTATGATTATTTGATAATAGAGTGTTTGCAATAGTGCTGCTTAAAAATAAATAAACATTTGCGATTGGCGATCGTTTATGAATCGTTATTCTTGACGGTGTCTCGTTACGACTCGTTTCATTCGAGGCAAATCTACAAAACCGTACCGTACCGTTTCGTTTCGAGAAAATAGCGAAATCAAACGTGATGAACTTATTATGAATTGTGGCAAATATTTACTTGGCATGTGTTGGGTTCGTCGCCTGATTGTTGCGTTATAAGGCATTCTTTAAGGGAGGCTTCTATAGAAACAAAAAAATTTTGAAATTTTCAATTTCGAATAAAAATATTTGTTATTATATCTAATTTTATAATTTTTATTCACTAAAATAAAATTAAAATAATGAAAATATTGTAAAATATAAAAGTAACTTTTTCGTTTCTGCTTCCAAGGCTTAACGGATGAGATATTTCTCGAATGTCCAGGGCAGACATCCTCAACACAGCGGCCACTCTCAATATCAATTCTCGTCTCCACATCACCACCATCATCTCTTGGAATACCACTTCTACTTCTACTACTACCGCTGTACCTCCTACAATTCCTACTACCACAACCATGCCTTCCTTTGCAGTCGAAAACGCCGCTGCTCCCGCTACTGA